TGTCCAATAATTTATACATTTTCTATGACTCTAGGCTAATCAATATTAAAACAAATAAACATTACTAGAACTACATCGAAAAATAATGTTTCTCCTTATTCTCCTTTATTGCTTCTATCATCTACCCTTTAAATCATTTACCCTTTAAATTTATTACCCTTTAAACTCGCGCTTATTCACGCTTAATTTTTAAATGACTAGATAGATATATTCACATACTTAATTAAACATATTTAGATATATGTTATTAAACAATTCATCATTAAATCGATATCTTAAAGAGATTAAGAGTTGTACGAATAAATTGTAAGGGGCCGTACATATCAATGTAGTATCATCTGAAAATACGAAGTTCTCAACTGCAAGCTATTTGAAATTATAAATTATATAGGCATACATTAATTATGGTGCTATTTACATATTTTACTTTTGTAATATTAATGTTTAATACCCGATAAAAAAAATTCGATAACATAATTTTAAAGAAACACTTGGCTACGACATATCTGTAGACTACAAAATATAAGTAACAGTAATACTAGATTTTAATAATGAATTAGAAATAACCAAGAAATAAAGTAAGAATGAAGTAATATAGATAAATTTTTATGTGATGTACAATCACGCAGTATATTAATTTTTTAATTATATTAATTATATTAAAGTACAAAAAATTAATTTCCTCAAAAGTCGAAAAAATTTTCTAATGAAATATATAGGAATACTTACAAATACAAATTTTTAATCTGATAAATGTGGTAAATTTTTCATTAAAATTATCACAAATTAAAGCAAAATAATAAAATATATAAAATTTAATATTCAAAAACTTTTAATGAAATATCTATAATTCAATGTATATATATGATTTAAAATAATTTTTTAATACTTAAAAGCATGAACAGTTTGCAATTCTATATACATATAAATTAAACTTTAATCTTATACCTAAAATAAGAATCACATTTATCCATATAAAAAATGCAGAATTTTTATAATTTAAAACATTTATATAAAAAATTATTTAATAGAATTTTTTTCGTAAAAATTCAAAATATATATTGATTGAAATTTAATGTCCTTTAAATTTTTATAATAATTACAGTTGTTATTTACTATATGTCATATTGTTATTAGAATGTGGCCGTCTTTTCTCGCCACCTCTAAGTACTATCTAGTGTCACGGAAAAAGGCCAATTGTTATCCAATATAAAAATTCTTGGACTTTCTTTGGCACTTGTTGCTCAATATGCACTTTTGAATAAAATCGGGAGTTCGAGGATATCAACGAAACGTTTTTTCTCACTATGTTTTCTGATTTCCTCATTTTACTTTTCTATAAGTCCGTTTCACCATTTCATCGAGTCTTGCGGAACTGAATTATATACCAAGACATTTATATATATGTATATAAATATATATAATCTGTGCAGTTAATAATTTTCCAATATTACATTTAACATTTTAAGTGTCTGGAGTCCTATTTTGCAGCTATATTTTATAGCTATATACTATATATTATAACAATTATAAGGAATGATAGTACTAACTATTATTAGTTACGTATGAAACCAATTAAACTGTTTAGAATAATTACAAATCCTTATCTGAAACAATTTAGGTAGATTTGTAAAGACTTTTCTAGCATCAATTATAATATCACAAAATACAATGATTAAATAACGGAATATAATTAAATTCTATAAAACATTTGTATTCACTTATCCTTGAATTGAAAGTATATTTTTAAACTTATTCTCTCTTAAAAAGAGAGATATGCAGCATGTTTTGAATATAGATACATTGGATTGCTGTTAAGTGGTTTGTTGATATACCTTCTTAAGACTCCATTATTTTGATTTAAACAATTTTTAATCTTTCACTTATTTGAAAATCCTTGTATCATTTTTTATAATATTATTTCTCAATTATTCTTACTAAATTAATTTTCATAGTCAGATTCTTTAATATTTGTACATTATTTACGTTATTAAATCGTGGTCATTTATTACATGAACATTTATTAGTCAATCTTATCAATAATTAAACTATCAATATATTTTTATAGCTATTCTATGGAATTTATGGAATAAATAAGAAAAAAGCATAAAATTAATACATAAAATTCCAAATATTAATTTTGAAATTGCAAATCATAAATTTCTTTTATGAAATATTAAATGACTGTCACAGAAAAATATAAGAAATGTATGTATCGGTTTATTTTAAATAGTTACTTATTTATATATGTGTGTGTATATATATATATATATATATATATATAAATGAAAAAAACAATTGTATACTATATATTATTTATATATGTGTGTGTATATATATATATATATATATATAAATGAAAAAAACAATTGTATACTATATATTAAATAAAAAAACAATCACATATATATATATATATATATATGAAAACTATGACCCATAAATTTTTTTGTCAATTTTAAATATACGATTGTTTTTTTCATCATAAATTCATGATTGTGCATTAAGAGGTGTGTCATGCTATATTTACGCATTATCATTGTTTCTTTTTCCATGTGACGAGAATTGAAAGTATATTCTATATAACTACTACTTGACACTGTTTTATTAGTTACACATAATTAATAAGTTTGCTTTAAAAATATAGAAAATTCTGTAAAAACTCGAATTTCCATAAGAAAAATTAATACAATTCAATTTGAATGAATTAATTCTTATTAATTGACAATCGTGACATAATTTTTAGTCGACTATTTATAAAAAAGATTAAAGTATATCCGTAGTTTTCATTCAAGACTTCTTAATCGAATTATACAATACAAGAGAAGTTTCCTTTTTCATTAAATAAAGCCTTGAATGTGGCATATTGAATAAAAACATTGAAATAAAATTAAAATGAAAAGTTATTAATTTAGTACAGTTTTTCTAAAGCCTTTTAAAGATAAATAGATAGATAAATATATGAATGAATGAAAAAATGAATAGTATATGTTTATGAGAGAGAAAAAGAAAGCGAGAGAAACAAAGAGAAATAAAGTTGTAATTTTAATATTTTTTTATGAATTAATGAACTACTATTAAATATATATTATGAATGGTGTATTTTTGTACATTTTAAAAATAGCTCATAATATTTAAATGGAAGTTATTATTCAACAGAATAAATTTTTCAAATAAAAAGATTTTTCGTTAAATAACATAAAGTTTTATCATTATAACTATTATGAAAATATATATAAAGTTTAATAAGGCTTGGTTAATGTTCAGTTTATTTGGCTAATCAAAATATAATTAAAAAGTAATTTACGTATACATATAAATACAAATAAGTTGATTGTTAATAACTACTTTTATAAATTAAACTTTTAATCAATAATTAAGTAAATCACTGAGTTAATGACCTAATTAAAGTTTTGATGATTGGGTTATTTATTTAAAAATGAAAATATTTATATAAAATTTTGCGAATAGTTATAGATTTCTTATTCATAAAAAAATTATTTTCCATCCTTGAAAGAAAAGAAATATACTAAATGATACAATATTTTATTCGTTTTGAATAATTAAAGAATTTATCTATTACTCAATAAAATTTATATTGTATTAAACTATAATTTACAAGCGATAAGAGGGCTGCTTCTCTTGCGCACCATATTAGCGTCCTTCCACTTTATCCTATCATTAAATCGATGACTACTTTACTTCTAAAGTACTCTTCTGAGCATCGGGTCGTTCGCATTCATATGCGATTGAAAGCGAGGTTGCATCCACAGTTATTTATGTAGCAAAAAATGCGATGTCGAAAACCAACAAATTGAGGCTTTTGATTCCTATCATTTATTCCTGAATCATCAGACATACTCAAACGCTGAATTTATCGTGACTGACGGTGACAATAGAATTTGAAATACGAATGATACTAGAATTACTTTCTACGAGTATAATATACTCCTCGATATTTCAGTAAATATTAATAAGGTAGAATAAAGTATACTGTTTGTAATATGTAATTGTTAATATAAATGTCGATGAGGTAAATAAGGTACATAACATAGTTATCTGTCTATTGAATGAAGTTCCAAATATATAAAAAGTATAAATAAAATAAATACAATATTGTAAGCTTTAAATCATATTCCAGATTATATTTCGATAATTATTTCTTCATTTATTTTTCTAATTTATAATTCTTCCGTATCAACTTTGTTTTCTTGATACTAATAAGCCATGTAACTGGCATTAATATTTTTTTATAGCTATTATGAATAATAAAGTATAATTCATAGATATTTCTGACTTTCGTTAAATTTCCATAAACAAATATTGATTCAAATTAATGTTAAAAAAATAACTCATATTTGAAAATATAGATAATTATACAACTCCTAAAATGATGAAAATAAAATATAAAATATATAAAGTGGAATGAATCTAAAATTTATTATATATCGTGCAAAAAAATATGAAAAAATTAATCATACATGATAAGTAATAAAAATCTCCTGATTATATTAACAATATAATCAGTATTAATTTATTAAAAAAAAAAAAACAATTATAGCATTAAGATATATAAATATTTTTATATTTAGAAAAAAGTTTTAATTTTGTAAGTTACAATATTTAACTATTAATTGGATAAGATATTAAATAAATAAATAATATGTAACATAATTTCATTATTGAATATAGGAAATTTATACTATTTCTTTCAAAGAGCAGTAAACGAATCAATGTATTTGAATAATATTGATGTTAACTTTGAATGTCATATACTGTTAGCTACAATAATTACATATTTATAAATATAAATAGTACGAAACAATTTAAAAATGAATTTCAGATTTGATAAAACTTTTTGTTGTAATTTTATACTCATAAAGCGTAAAAAAATTATATTTATCCCGTAAACTTTTTAAGGAATATATTGCAGTGATGGAATATCAAGAATTAATATATACACAGAAAGAAAAATGGCCGAATTATAAATTTCCGATTACCTCTGAATTGCTGGTTGCAATGCTGCTCAAACTCGGTGACATCGCCCCGGTTGCGGGATCTGGACTGGGATCTACGTGGCTCCTCGATATGAGATTGGATCCATGAGGATACGATGGCAAAAGTGGCTGCTGCTGCTGTTGTTGTTGCTGTTGTTCCTGATGTTGCTGTTGCCGCTGTTGTTGTTGCTGCTGTTGTTGTTGCTGCTGGTGTTGATGGTGCTGCTGGTGATTCTGGTGCTGCTGGTGCTGCTGGTGCTGCTGGTGCTGCTGCTGGTGCTGTTCCTTGGGTAATTGGACCATGTGACCGGGTGGTGCGCTTTGGATCGTTATTGAAATTTGATTGGGTTCCGTGTCGATGAGAGCTAGATGAGGTTGGATTCCAAAACTACTGCTAAGACTGTTAACATTGATCTCATCAACGGACGATGGGATGTCGGAAGAAGTGCGGAAAGTCTGGTGCAAATACTGGCGCACCTGATTCTTCTGTTTCTGGACCACGTGATAGCGTGTCGGATTCTCCAAAAGCGTTCGCACCTGTTGAAAAAAGAACGACAAATATTATCCCGTGTATAAGATATACGAAACAGGTCATTTTATACGTACGGTTTAAATAAAATTGCAATTGGCACTATATCTGTAGTGGTACATTAAGATTTAATAGATTTAAAATTTTGATTTAAAATCATTTTTATTTTCTATACAGTTTGTCAGACAAGCAAATTACTCTATTCTGTTAAATGCTTTTTTTTCATTTATATACATGCCGAAATTATTGCATTACTTAATTAATACATTACAAATATTCAATAATACAGCATCTTAATATATTAAAAAACCAATTTAAAATAAAATTTAAAAAAATATTTAATATAAATTTAAAATATTTAAAATATTTTAATAATTTAAAATTTAGAATACAATTAAATTCTTTAAGAAAACATACATACATATATTCCCCAGATAATTAAATAATTAATTTTTTATTAATTAATTTAGATTACTGCTTACAATATATAAGAAAAAAGAAATATTAATCATGATAAAAATTGGTCAGAAGCATTTATATCTGTCAAACTACACATAGAAAAAATAGGTTTGAATAGCCATACAAAAAAAACAGGACTTATAACTTTTTTTTCTTAATCTCGATTTATAACGTTAGCCTATACCTAAAAGATGTTAGTAAGTTAACGATTCGTGCACTTTTCAAGGAGATAAAAATAGCAAAAGAACGGAGATGTAAGACCTAATTTGTGAATGAAAGCTACTTTCAGTGAAGGTCGACAACTGACCAGGTTTGAATGAACTCTTGTCCTCGGGATAATTTATAAGCTATGCTATGCACTGATCTTTTTCTGCCTGTAAATTTGTAGTTTTATTTGAAACTTTTAGGTTAAGATGATAGACTTGTGATGTTATTAAATGATATGAATTATGTACTTATAAGATTAATGAATTATTTTTTCGTAAAAATTATTCATCTTAAGCTCCAGAGCTTAGCCTTTGAACTTTGACGTGTCAGAGTTTTATATAAATATATTTAGTTAATAACTCGTATTATGCAGCTTATTAGACGAATATTAATTATTATTTCACTTGAATTTTATTTAGAAATGAAAATGTATATGGAGTATTCTTTTTTTCTTATCTATTCTTATGTTAAAATTATTTAAAATTGAAAAAATTCGTAATTAATTAAAAAATACATAAAATTATTCTTCGTTTCATATATATTAAATTATAATACATTATCATTTTTAATTTTTACAACATAATTTATGAATTTTATCAAAATTAAATTACTTCTTAATAATCACTTTCGTAATAAAGGGTATGACACATTACAACATCATAAAGAACTTTAAAACATAATGTAATTAAATGTTATTTTCTGTTCATTAATATTTATAACAAATTTGAATAAATCTTTTACCAATCTGAAAGAAAATTTGAACATTCACATGAAACAACAAAAGATTCTATTAATTGTTATACATTAAACGATAAATGTTTTTATGATAAATGTTTTTATGATAAATATTTTTATGATAAATATTTTATGATTAATGTTTGTATGATAAATGTTTTTATGATATATGTTTTTATGATAACAAAAAGATAAAACTGAAAATTAACTGAAAATTACTATTATAATTTTGTTAATTAGTTGGAAAAATTCAATAATACAAAATATTTATGATTAAATTTCTATACTATAATATATGAGTAATTACTTTAATTAAAATTAAAGAAATATTTTACTTCTAATTGAAATATAATGTATGTAGCCTTAGTCTTACGTATTTTTACTTGCATATACGACTTTATTTTTGAAAATACAATGTTTGCGTGTCTAATTTCCTTTTATTCCCTAATAATATTAAGTTTAGGTTTTATTAAAACAAAAGGCAATATACATTAACTACCTATTTTAATAATTTCATTTATATTATTTATAATCTAATAGAGGTCGAAAATGATATTAGAATTACCTTAATACTCGACATTCTTTTCATAAAAATATTTTATATGCTAGTTATAAAGCTAGATATATTAATATATGTATCAGACATTTTAGCTGATTCAATGAAAAATACGTAACACTATAGAAGAAGTTGTAAATACTAATACATATAAGGAACTAGTACCCTACGTAAGCACGCTTGCAATTAGAAATTACAATTTTAATCTCACATCATCTTTAAAACGCACTTCGTATATGTCAACTTAATAACATCGACTTCGAGTCGGGTACTCTTATAAATAATATAAAAGACATAATTCTGTATACAACGAAACAAACGTATATCTATACTTAATTCATCATCCTCTTCCATTTTACACATTAATATATATTCCTCCGTACACACAATCTTTCTTTCTTTCTCTCTCTCTCTCTCTCTCTCTCTCTCTCTCTCTCTCTCTCTTTCTCTCTCTCTCTCTTTATTTTCTTTAATGAAAACAGGATATTATGAAGGTGACAAATATGAACAATATTATACTCGTATACTTATCTAAACATAACAATTTCGATCATAATACAATAATTTATATAATTGTCAAATTTTATTTTTATAATTCATATTTATAATAAATGCATGTATATGTGTATTTTTTACATAATATTTTTAAGACATACAGAGACAAAAGAATATATATATATGTTTTTTAAAAATACAATTTAATTGTTTATTTTAATCAAAATTTTTCTCTTTAAATAACATAAGATTATAATATCTTCCATATTTATTACAAAAGAATAATATAATGAAGTAATAAATAAAATGTCGCAACATTTCAATAAAAACGTAAATAATAACTGGATTGTATGAAAAAACTATATTAGCTTCCATGGAAGTTGATAATTATTAAGATAGTATAACTCCACTAATGATAAATGATTTTATTTATGAAACATCATATCTTAAAAGTTATATAAAAAATTATATGTTACATCACGACTATAGCAGTAATTGTTAAAGGCATACTGAGTCGACTGATTAAGTAAGAATTTACATATTAAAAATTTTTTAATAAATATTAACTTAAAATATAGAATAATTATGAATTTACAAAAAAAAATATTTAGTAAAGCTATAAATGGTAATACAAAAGCTTAATATTCTACGATAAAAGAAAGTCGATATTTCTCTTTAATATTTTATAAACTAATATATAAGGCGTCTTTTGTGATACAATTAATTAACAAGTAAATCACTCATACAACTTTATATCACAAAGCATAATATTTATTGTTTGGCAATTTCATTGATTTTTCAAAACATCTTAACATTTTCATCTGAAAATGAAATACTTAAAGAATGCTACAAAAATTTATTCAGAATATTAAAGCTTAATTAGAATTATTGAAGTTATGCGATCAGTTTTACGACAAGTTGCATGCAAATCTCCTTAGAATTTTAACTATGTAAGGAAAAATCGCAAGAAAATTTTCTCAATGTAAAATTGTATACATTACAATTTAAAAACATATAATTCATAATATTATATTATTGCATAATTTCATTATGAGAAAATTTTACAATTCATATGATATTTTTAATATCACTCTTTCTCCACTCATTTCTCTTTCTCTCTCTTTTTCTATTTATATATTCAAATATATTCAAATAAAATCTTCGAATAGATATAAAATTAATATTAGGTTGCTATAAATTCACTCTTTAATATATGATTTTTATGAATTATATAATTTTACTATTGTTATCTTACTTATCTGTTTTTTTACGTTTTTCCCACCCATATCTTAATCAGATTCTTATTATTTATTCTTATTAGTTTCTGAAATAAGCAGATAATCATTTTATGAAATAATGACAAAATGTATAATATTAGACCATTTATTCAATAATTACGTTTTATAAATTTTTAATAACATACTTAATATATTTAAATTAAATATTTTAAATTCAATTGTTTTTTGTTATGAATTACAATTTGTGGTTTGTAATCATAGTGAAAGTAACCCAATAACTTATTATGCAATAAATATAGATATGGAATTAATTAACACATTACAGGTATTTAAAATTTAGGAAGTTAACACTTTTATACCTCATTCGTTTAGATATTTTTTTTTGTCTATATAGTTTACTATTCTATATAGTTATATAGGTCTATAATTGAAAATTGATAATCTATATAAAAAATCTATAATCTCAATAAATCTATACAGTCTATATAGTTACTCGCGGATTATTAATATGTATATTAGAATTTTTATACTTAGTTTTCCACTTAGTTTAATTTTTGTAAATTTCACAAAAATGAAATCTACACTGACCTTAATGAAACCTTTTATAATTATTAATTATACCACCTAATTAAAAATTAATTTCCGAAATCCAACAAGCTTATATTTCATATAAATTTAGTATACTGTTCATATTATTTTTAAGTAATATTAAACAATTTTATTTACCTAATTTCTATCTGCACAAGTATAGAATAGTAGTAGAATAGTACAAGTATATATTAAATGATGTTATGGCAGAAAAACTAAACAAATATACAGTATTAAATTTATATAATCTCTCATTTAGATTAAGCACAAATTAGAGAAATATTAAATTTTGCAAAATACTTTGTAATTTTATTGTATTAAATTATCTAGTTACTTGTTTCAGTGATAAAATAATGAGCTAAAATTCAAACGATCAAAATTATTTAAGAAATTATAACTAATATTAAATTGAAAATATAACTAATGAAAATCCTTGGATAGATCAAAATTGGCAAGGTCCTTGAAGCGAAAGTCAACATTTGATAGGTTAAAGTATAATACAGATATAAACCTTCCGACGTATGCACAAAGAAAAAAAAACACGTACTAATGTACAGAGTGTAATAAGCAATAATGCCAAGAGCAATACATCACAGAGGAATTCTTAAATGTTCAAATCTTTAAAACGGAGTGGCGACGTAAATACGTGTTTTTCACCATCACTGGGTATCTTTTTACACGTCTGTGAACCGTACAACGGATGTCGTATATGATAGCATAATTTCCCACACGTGGATCAAAGTTTGACTAGAGGAGACGAGCCCAGGCCGCATACCCACCTGGAGTACTTGAGGCGGTACGTCGACACCGATGGTGGAAAGCTGCGCCGGGGGTACGGGCCTTGGGGGCGCAGCCGCAGGCCTCTGCTGCTGCAGAGTGTGTCGAAACTCAGCCTCTCGGCGCTCCTGCTCCTGGAGCTGTTCGCGCATCAATTGAAGCTTCAGCTGTGTACGCGAGGTCGGCGTCACTGTCTTGAAGTTTGGTGGGCTGGAAGCAATAGGAGGACCAGCATTTATAATGAAAGCTTTGCCTGCTTTTATTTTTCTACGGCCAATTCATCTCGCACTCGATACGCGTATTCGTTATGCAAATGGTAATTTATACTTTCCGATTGTACTAAAAAAATAAGGCTTTTACAGATCTAAGGATAATGTCATTATTCATTGTGAAAAGGCGTATTAATCGTTAATATTAATCCAGGAAATTTTAGATGAAGATTTTTTTAGTAATTCGTGATGATCGAATAGCGTTTAATTAAGTAGAAATATATGTCCGTTCAGGTTTGCATAATTAAGTATTACATGTATATAAATACTGGATAAATGTAATGGGATAAAACTTTTTTCATGACTGTACAATAAATTACTTTCACGCAAAGAAAGGTTGAGATTAATTTTTTATAAACGATTATATCTAGTTAAATCATGACTATCAATCATTCTGACAGAAACTTATCAATTTAGTATGTGAAATAATATATAATTATTAAAAAAACGATGAATTTTAATAATAGTAGGATGGATGATAATTTGTGACTTATATAAAAAAAAAGATTAAATAAATAGAGCCATTTCCTTATTCAACTTAATCAATAAGTAATACTGTAAATATATATATATATATATATATAATGAGATATTATATATAAATATTATTATTAGTAAAAATATTATGTTCCCTTTAACTTTGTATTGTTACCAATTTAAGTTTATCGCAACTAATTTATCATTATCCTCGATACTATCATGACGTATTTTTGTAAAACTACTGCCAATCTACCGCATATAATTTTGGTAAACTTTTATAAACTATCTGTTAACCGAAAACCACAACTACATATGAACCTGTCGTTCACGAAATGAGCATAGACCATGTTGTGATACAATCTCACAACCGTCACAGAATGAGTCGATCCATTGTTTTCCCGAGCTTTCACAACTGACGTTTATAAATACACAGAAATTTCGTCTGCTTACATCTTCGTGACAATAAACTGTCGTCAAAATCCAATTTAGAAGTGCTTGAATTGAAATTTTAATGAATTTTAGTCTCGCGCTAGACTCTCTTTTCAATTGCCTTATACCGGCTCTCTTGTATTTTATGTATTCTAGTCTTTTCAAGTACACAAAAGCTTATTTCCAGATCTTTACTTCATTTTAGAATAATACTGTGTTTAGTTAAAAATCTTTTCTGACGGATATTGTTACACTTAACATCTACGTAAGCCGTTCGATTTTTGTCGTCTTCCTTTCACGCCTATTTTATAAATGATTGCTAGCTACTGTCTACCGAATTAGTTACTGTATCAAGATTTGTAGTATAATTAAAATTGTAGCCATATGCATTAATTATTCTTGAGAATATATGACCCAATCACAAATTAATTTATGATTGAAACTATAGTCTTTAACGCACTTCATATATTTACTATTACATTGGACACTTTTTAAAAATAAAGAATTCAAAATATTTTTACATTAAAATTTCTAATTTATTTTATTTAGAATACTTGTTTATATTTCGAAAATAAGTTCGCCTAGTTATACAGAATTTATAATGAATTATATTTAAATTTTTCGTATAGTACTATACATAAAATGTATTTTAATAAAGTGACAATGACAATTGGATAAATGTTATTTCTACTAATTCAGCAGACCATTCGTAATTACAATACTAATAATTAACCATAAATTCGAATACCAAAGCACACTTATGTAATTATACGATAATGAGAAGCTTTAAAAATATTAATATAAATGTTAATTGTACATAATATTATTATTAAATAAAACTAAACATATTTGTTTAAATTGATATTGTATGATAACAATAAGATTGTTGTTAATATTTATTTATTTAATATTTTTCTCTTTATGTTTTATATAGTATTTTTGATTTGATGAAGCTGCAATTTAAACAAATTTCATAAAGCTTAATGAAATTTATATAACATAGACTTAATATTGTAACAATAATAATTTGAATTAATTTATGGACAGTACCATGAATATTTTATGGAAGGTCATAATATATATGTTGAAATCTTATTTCCGACTATGGCACAAGTTGTAACTATCCTGTAAATTTAAATAAAATTATTCAGTATAAATATTAAAGTTATTTAAATAAATCGAATAATTTTAATTGAAACAACGATCATCTAAAAAAGAATAATGTCGACAATAGTTACAATCTATTTATTACAAATATTGCGTTGTTTATTATAATCTTACTCTTTTATTCTAATGTACTTAAATATATTTATTAATAATTTAGTTTTGAAAAATTGAAAAATTTTTATTCTAAAACGCATTTATCGTGTAATTACTATAAAAACAAATAACAGATTATTTTCTATTCATTGTGATATTACAGTCACAAAAATATTGAATATATAAAATATTCAATCATCATTGCATTCAATATTTTTATTATTAATTTTGATTAATATTAATCTTTATTTATAATCTATCAAGTTCTCTTTTATATACCATTCATTTTATACCAATCTTATAATTATAAATAAACATATCTAAATAAAATATGTAAACTAAAAAAATTAATTGTGCCTTGGTTGACAACACTAAAAATCTTTTATACAATTTTTAAAAATAACTAATGAATCATTATTCATACGAATCGATTGAAAGAATAATATTCAATCTCTTTTGAGCATTATACATTAAATAAGAAACTTAGTATATTATATCAATAAGAAACTATATACATAATAAAGAATCTGATGTTGAATTTAGGTAATTTGTTGATTCAACTACCGTGAATAATACTGTATAATAATAAAATATAATATACATAATATCTAATCCTGTGCATAAATTTGTTGCTTATGCGTAAAATTCCTATGCGTATATTACATTTTAAATTATATTTAAATTAATTATATTATTATATTCGTGTGCTAAGACTACATACACACTTAATATATCTATAATATCAAAAATATTTCTAATACTTTTAATTATTAATGTTTAAATAACTGATTTTCATTTCAATTCGATATATATGTTATAGACAAATGCTTTATTTTCTCATTAAATTAATTCAAATAATTATAGTTACAATTTGAGCATGTATCAAATAATGTAATTAAACTTGATGAAATGTTTTTAAATTACACTTTACCTCTAATGAAAAATACTTCATAAATCAAAACCTTAAAAATATACAAAAAATATTCTGTTTCAAATGAAATTTAAATACGTAATATTTTTAAAATTTTATCCTTGGTATATTTCAAAGAGAAACTAATTTAATTAGAGAAATTTTTAAATAATCACATTAATTTATCAATAATTTTTACCAACGATGAATCAATCACTGTTTCATAAAAACATTTCATCGTTTATTGTTCCTATATTTAGTTATATCAATTTTCTCAAATATTTATAAACCATATTTCTAAGTATATATTTGTTTCTTTGATAATAGTTGCACAAAATTTTACTTAGCTTTTACTATTGAAGCAACATCTAATGTATATATTCTTTATAATATTAAACTAAACTCATTAAATGAAACTGATACAAAATATATACCTGTATTATTCAATTAATTTATCAAGATATTTTTAATAATTATATCGTTTTACTTATTTGTATGCTGATTTATTATAAATTCATTAGCCTTTGAATTTATTCGTACATTTTATAGAAACTTTTGTATGTTTATATTATATAATCAAATTGATTCACTTGTTCTGTTTCTATAGACGTATGTAATTCAATTTATATTTATCTATATATACATATATATCAATTCAATATATGTTTATTTTTATTTTTGAAAAATTATCCATTGTAATAAGTAATCGTGATCGATTTAAATAACAATTTCATTTCGAGTCTAGAATTATACATTATACTTAAAATACAAATGATTTCTGTTTCGCTATAAAATATAAAGAAATAGATATTTTCAACTATGAAATTGATTCTCAAAATTTTAATCTCAGCTTAAGATTTAAAACTTCAACATTATTCTTACGTTAATATGAACAGCAAAATTAATATTAATTTATTCAAATGAATTCAATAACAACCGAATACATATTTTACATTCATAATCTGAATTTTTAAAAAATTATTTATTTTTATACTTCCTTATTAGATTATAGTTTTTTATTAAGCTTTTAAAACTACTTAAACTACTTTTCTCTCTTCATACATTTTAATTTTTAGTCATAATTATTCTAATAATCTACAAATTCTCCAATTATTTGTATTCTACACATAATATAATTAAAAATATATATTAAGCAATAAAATGATATGTAAAACCTAATTAGCCAACAGTAATATTTTATGCTTAATCGATTATATAAAAAATTAGAGGTAGTTTTGGACTTCTATTAAGTTTTATAATATTTCTATTGCTTTGTTGTTCTATTCCTTGATTTGGCTATAATGTGACATAGTTAATTGAAATATTCCATGAATCGCTTGTTATATAACTATGTACAATTTCTTATTAATTAAAGAAATTGTCGTTTAATCTTTATTCTATCTGTATGTGAATATAATAGTTTAAAATAGCAAGAAATATATTCAGAAAAATCGATGAATACAGTGTCTTTGTTTATTTATTTTAATGCATGAAGTATATAATAATTTCATTTTAACTTACTTTTCCTAGATGAATTGCCTTTAAATTTTCGTTTAATATTTTCCCTTATATTTAGTTTCATTTTTTAATTATATATTTGATTTACTTATGATAAACTGACTCAAAATTTAATCCAATATAAGTGATTTATTCATCTAGGAATGGATTGCTCACACAACAAATATAACTATGAAAATGATAAAAATAAGAGTGAAAGGTAAAGATATGATTAATTAACTATATTTAGCCAGATTACCTATTCATGTATTTATACATTGCGAGAATATAGAAAAAGTGAGAAAGAAAAGTGTCCGAAAGAGAGAGAGAGAGAGAGAGAGAGAGAGAGAGAGAGAGAGAGAGAG